TTCATGTATCAATTGCTCCCCTTTACTACTAGAATTATAGGCAAGACATGTCTAGTTGAGTAGTACTCTTTCTGTTTCATATTAGTTGATTATTTGTTTTTACAAATAAGATAAATGAAGTCAAGATCTATGTGTTTGTTGTGAAAAAAGATATTTTTGCAGAAAGTAAAGTCATTTTCCAGTAACCAAATATCTAAGTATTTTCCATTAAAAGGGTAATTGACTTCTGAATTGTAGTGGTGTTGGATACAAAGACAAAGTTATTACCAAATATACCCTTTCTTGAAATAAATAAATAAAAAATGTTGTGTACTCTTTTTGATGGAAAATTTTCCTATAAAAAAATATTTTCTTATAATAATTTTATTTGTGGAAAATATTTTCCTCTCTACCAAATGAGGCTGGACCTTGAAATGTTTTCTTCCTTTAGATTTAATTTATTTGTCTTATTTTTCTCTTTAGTCAATTTTCCGATTTCAACTTTTTATGTAGCATCTTATGGTGTCTTGAGACCATAAGATTAAAAAACATTTTGTACATTCTAACTAGTCTTAATTTAAGATTATAAGATTAAAAAGTCAAAACATTTTGTACATTTTAGCTAGTCTTAATTTAAGATTATAAGATTAAAAAGTCTTTTTAGACTTTGTGTAAGATTAAAATCAGATAAATAAATTGAATCTGAATGAATAATAATGATAATGATCATTTTCAAGTGGAGTAATAGTTAACAAGTGTTCATTGTCCAATTTCAGTGCTTGCCAGAGGTGGTAAAACTTTGTTATGACAGCAATTATGAAGTAAAGGTGAAAGCCATGGGAGAACTTCAAGAGCTACTTAAACTTCTTGAGAATGAATTGATCAAAGATAATAATAACATTTTCTTTGGAGGAGAAAATAAAGTTGGATATATGGAAATTGTTTCCATTTTGATAACTTATTGGCTTGGAGTTATGCAAGAAGTATTGGAAGTAGACATATTGAACAAAAAGGAATTTCCAAATTTATGTGGATGGGCTGATAAGGTGATAAGTTGTAGCTTTATGAAGGAAAATTTGCCACCTAGAGAAAAATTACTTGCAATTTACAAAGAATATGCCCAACCACTTGTGCTACCAAATAATGAACTTTCTCAATAAACAAATCACACACACAAATAATTGTATTGAAATCCTCAAGGAAAAGTTGTGTTTGATTAGAGTATGATTATGTGTGTGTTTTTGTTTGTGTAATTGTTCATCTTGTAATGGTGAAATGGTTCAAACATGAAATGAAATAAACTAAATGTTGCATTTTTATGGTCATATTGTGTTTCTTAAAATTAGGGATGTGCACCAATCGAACTGATTTATAAATCGAAGTGAAAAAAATGTTATTGGATTATTGTTATAAGGTTATTGAATTAACAGGTTTTTAATAATTTTATTGATGCAACATAACTAGACTCTACACGTCTACATACTTCAAACTTCATGGTATTTCTACTCCACATCATCAATATCATATTATGTTTTGGCTGTAACATGTAATTGTAGCTTTCGTATTACATCTGTTTTTATTGATGCAATTTCTCATTAATTATCTTTCTTGTTTCATTATATCAAAAAAATTACAGCTGATGAAATTGAACCGTTAATGATTAAAAATTGATAAAAAAAAATATCTTATAGATTTATTGTTAATTTAGCATATTTTAAAAATCAAAAATTGATAAATTAAATTAATAATACATAAAATTGAACTAAACCGATCGATACACACCTTACTTAAAATAAAGATGTGTTAACAAGATTTGTCAAGAAGAATGGTCCTTGAATTATGGGAAAATTGTACATAATGACAAATTATTAATTCAAATTAAATGGTATAACCACACTTTGATTTAATTGTGTCCTGTAGCAAACTGTTTGTCAATTGCCTCTCTCCCTCAAACTCTCGCTCGCCACTCTCCCTCTCTCGCTCGCTCCCTTTGTGCTCGCCTCTCTCGCTTTATACAACAAAATTGTATAAATTGTGTTTTTGTTTGTATAAAGTGAGAGAAAATTGTATATACACATGCAAATACATATATATTCGACCTATACACTTATAATTATACAATAAAAATATTCCACTGCTCAATCTCTTTTGCCTTTCTCTCTTTCTCGCTTTATACAACAGAATTGTATAAATTACGTTTCTGTTTGTATAAAGCGCGAGAAAATTGTATATACAAATGCAAATACATATATATTCGTCCTATACACTTATAATTATACAATAAAAATATTCCCCTGCCCAGTTTTATGTTTGTATAATGTATAATTTATGTTTGTATAAAACGAAAGAGAGAGCGATTTTTGATATACAAATATTTTTATCAACAATTTATACAAACGAGAGGCTAACAACAATTTATACAAATGGGCTGTCAGCGAAATTATACAAATCTGAAGAGGAGCCAACGAATTATACAATTGTTTCTTTTTGTATATATGTATAGCGAAATAGACATAACTTTCAATTGTATATGTATAATGAATTATACATATATATGTTTGCTATAGAGTGCAATTATGCAAACTTTGTTATAATATACAAATATAATTCTTTTGTTTGCTATATGTGAAAGTTGCTCTTGAATTATTGAGGGGATGGGCCTAAAGCCTATGGATTGAGATAATATGGGGGACAGTCGTTTATGGTCAATCATCCACATGATCAGATCAGGGGCGAACCCACCTTATACCAAAGGGGTCACCCGATACCGCATCGTTGAAATTTTTTAGTATATATATAAAAGTACAACTATTATTATTGACACTCTTTGAACAAGACAGCTCATTGGCTTGCTGATTTGCACAGCGAGTGCGTCAGCTGTTCCAATAAGAGAAACTTTCACATATAGCAAACAAAAAAATCATATTTGTATGTTATAACAAAGTTTGCATAATTGCGCTCTATAGCAAACATATATATGTATAATTCGCTATACATATATACAAAAAGAAGCAATTGTATAATTCGTTGGCTCCTCTTCAAAATTGTATAATTTCGCTGGCAGACCATTTATATAAATTGTTGTTAGTCTCTCGTTTGTATAAATCGTTGACAAACATAAATTATACATTATACAAGCATAAAACTGGGCAGGGGAATATTTTTATTGTATAATTATAAGTGTATAGGACGAATATATATGTATTTGCATGTGTATATACAATTTTCTCGCGCTTTATACAAACAGAAACACAATTTATACAATTCTGTTATACAAAACGAGAAAGAGAGAAAGACAAAAGAGAACTGGGCAGGGGAATATTTTTATTGTATAATTATAAGTGTATAGGACGAATATATATGTATTTGCATGTGTATATACAATTTTCTCTCGCTTTATACAAACAGAAATGCAATTTATACACTTTTGTGTATAACGCGAGAGAGGCGAGCACAGAGAGAGTGAGCGAGAGAGGAGAGTGGCGAGCGAGAGTTTGAGGGAGAGAGGCGCTGACAAACAGTTTGCTATAGGACACAATTAAATCAAAGTGTGGTTATACCATTTAATTTGAATTAATAGTTTGCCATTATGTACAATTTTCCCTTCCAATAATGCGACTTATTTTTATTTTTGGAGCGATTTTAGAAAAGTTTATCAAAATGATTCGAACCTCCAACCTCACAATTTCTATTTAAATTTGCCTAAAATAAACCAATTAAACTAGAATACAACTTATTACCTATTATAGAAATTTTGTTACTTGGTCAAATTGGAATTGGACACAATAATAAGTTATAAAGTAAAATCTAAGTTGACAAGAAACCTCCAATTTTGCAAATTGCAAGTGTTGCTATGTTGAAAGTTTGATGCTACTGCGGTTTCGCTTAATTGTAAGTTCATGTTTCTATTTATCTCCCATCTTTATAGTTTTAGTTGAATTTTCTTGAATATTTATCAACATATTATAGATTTGATTTCTTGAAATTGTTTAGAGTTATGTAATTTATTTAAATTTGTAATTCAGATCAATTCAATGGAGAGATATTATTCTAAAGTATCTTCGAAGCTTTCAAAATCAAGACTGATTTACGAAACCGAAGGGATGATGATCTTTTGAGTAGTTGTTTGGTGCCTTAGATAGAGAAAGAAATATTTAGTTACTATCTCCAATGAGACAATTATGAATACATTTCAAAATATGAAAACTCGTCGAGGAGAATTGTAAAAGTTTACTTGATTTATGTTTTATTAGTACATTTTAAATACTAATTTTTATATTAATATAATATTTTTATATCAATTATTTATTATTTATTAAATATCGACACCATTTAAAAAAAATCTCGGATACGCTGCTACTGCACATGACATGTTGAATCTTGATCTTACCTAGAACTTGTCAAAGAGTTAAAAATTGTTTATGCGATCTTAGGAATTTTAATTAAGAAGAGTGAAACAACTTTCTTTTTCTAAAAGTAAAAGGTCAAAAATGTACATTGACAAAATGAAACCATCTTGTCCAAAAAAGCATCTAGGGTCAAAAACGCCTTTCATTTTCACCTCATCTTTTGACCCTTTAAACTTTTGAAGTGGGTAAAAAAAATATTTGTACCTAATGTTTATTCCAAATTATATTGTTTTATCAATGATTGAGTTAAAAAAATAAAATTAGAATGTATAGTAGGGTGTGAGTGAGTTTTCATGCTCTAAATGATCGTGTCTCAGCCATATACCTTGATTAATCCATGAGATATTTGTCATCTTGTAATGGTAGGATAAAAATAATAATTATATCTAAACAATGGTATAATTCTTCCCTACAAAAGCGGAAATAACATAAATTAAGGACGAATATAAGAAGCACAAGGGTTCGATAGCATAGAAAATCATCAACCTAATTCTCATCAGTAATCGGTACCAGAAACAGGATCTGTCTTATTTAGCATTAGAAGTATGGAAATTATCATCATAAGAGAAATTACATGTAAAATCCTTCATCTTATTCGAAAATGTCTTAACTTCATATCTTAACCAAACAACAGCGCTTGGAAAAAGCTGGATCCTTAATAATAGTCACATGGCAGCTGGCATTATTCATTACATAATTGGTCACACTTCCCAAGAATATCCTGTTTTTATCAGGAGATAAAAATCCAAATGTTAAATGACAGTATACTCGAATATAAAGATATGATCCTTGAATCTAACTTTGGACAAATCTCCGTTAAAAAGAATTACCTTTGGAGGCCACTGAGGCCTCTGCTACCCATAACAAACGAATTCAACTGCAGGTCATGAACACCTTGACACAGTTTCACCTTAGCATCTCCCCAATATAATTTAATAACAACATTTATCTATACAAAGATCAAATGAATAAAAAAATAATTAAAATTATCAAACAAAAAATAAAATAAAATGAAAAGGGTAGATGAGTTATTGAAAATTAACCTGTTTTTGCCTAGTAGCAGTATCAAGCATATCAAGAAGTTCAATATCAGTCTCCACATCATAGTAGTGTAACACCCCAGCCTCCCTAAACTCCACCAATGGAATCAAAGCTTATCCAAACAAAACAAAATTAAACTATTAACATCTTATTAATGGATTTAAAATAGGAAAAAATAAATATATAAAAAAATCAGTTCAGCTAAAAAATAACTATACATAACAAGTACGTGTTAATTCAAACATGGGCAGACAGAGACAAAGGGATTTCTCGATTTTGAAACTCTTTAATGAAAATTCTAAACAACAAATTCAAATCCATAAAAATTAAAAGAAGTATTTTCTTTGTTCCAATTTATATGACTTACTTTCTTTTTTAGACAGTTCCAAAAAGAATGATATATTTCTATATTAAATAACAATTTAACTACTCACAAAATATCTATTTTACCCTTAATGAAATGATTTACAGTCACACAAATTTCTATCATTCATTTTGGATCAAAAGTTTTGAAAGTTTTCCATTTTTTTCTTAAATTTCGTATCGAGTCAAATTACCTCACATAAAATGAGACGGAGGGAGTAAGATTTAGACTTACGAGAGCCAGATTGATGTCTAGAGTCATGATTCTTGACGTGGATGATGTAAAAGGTGTCACCTTTATTAGCCAAGTTATTAATTGCCCATTTCAAAGCTGCTTTGCTGCTCCTTGAGAAATCCATTCCAATACCAATTCTCTTGTTTTCCGCCATTTTAGCTTTCTTGATTTTTCTTCTCCTTTTTTTGTGTGTGAAAACTTAAAAGCTTTATTGTATGAGGTGTTACACTACTTTTTCAAATGATGTGATACGGTTTGGATAAGGAGAATCAAATATATTCAACTTCCACTATAAATTCAAATATGGAATCTTTAAATTGGTCATAGATTATATTTTATTGTGAAAATTAAAAATGAAAAAAATTAATTATCGAAGTGAGAAATAATATCTAGAAGTTGAAGTTTTATTTTTCATGAAATCAATTAGAGTCATTTTTAATTTTTTGTGAGTAATTTAAAACTTAAAAAACAAGTGATTTTTATAAAATTTTATTTTAGAAATTACAAAAAAATATTGAAAAAAGAAATTAAAATTTTATGACTAGACATATTTTCTGCAGTTAACTCTAAAAATGATCTTTTTAAAAAAAAAAAAGAAGTTAAATACCCTCTTAAATTTTTAGAAATTATATTCACATATTTTAAAACTATATAAAGTATAAAAATGTATTGTTTAAAACATTTAAACTATATAAAAGCTTATTCAAAATCTTTGAAAATAGCATATAAATTAAAACGAATAGAATATATAAAGCAGGATTGATTTGGGCCAAGATAAAATAAGATATTGTTTTTTTAGTGCCACTTTGTCTTCTACCCAAAAGTTTATGGATGGACAAATTATTGCCCCTGTTATTGAAAGTTATTTATTCCCATAGCTGTTTTTTTTGGACCTAAGTGGGGGCAAATATACCCCGTATTATAGGAAATAGTTTGACAGATAAAGGGTATATTCGACCCAAAATATAATAAGAGGGGCATATTTGGTCCAAAAATATAACGAAGGGTATCTTATCTTTCAAAATCGATAAGATAGGTTCACGATTACGATCGATTATGAAAAAATGCTTCTTAAATATAAATTTTATCAGTTTGACTTTTAGGTTCTTAATATGAACCATTAAATTTAAAAAATTATAGGTCCAAAATATATAATACTTCTAGTTTTAAATTTTAATATACACATTTGATTTAATTATATAAAAAAAAAATTACAGTGCTAAATTTTGTAGAAATTTTCAATGTAACACACTTGAAAATTTTAAGAAAAAAAACAAAAGAAAAATTAGTTGAAGCACCAAAAATGTAACCGATAACCACTTGGAGAGGTGTTACTCAAAACAAAAGATAGATATAACATTTAAATTTTTATTCACTTAGAGAGGTGCACCCGATCATAATCATATTATTATATGATACTTTGAACGTGGATTCAAACATCTATATTTAAATAGTTTTACAAAAATATAACATTGTTATATATGATCTAGAAAGGGGAGCATGGGTTCACGTGAACCCGCGGCACCCCTCTAGATACGCCCCTGCTAACGTACACCAATACTATGCTAGTACCGGACAATTATAATGAAAAAGAGCTTTGTAGTTTTTTCAACATCATGAAGAGCAAGAATTTTTTTTTAAAAAACGTCATCCATTTGATGAGAAGATCGAAAAAATTGAATGGTTAAAGCTAAAGTCGCTAATTTTGAAGTAACAGTCAAAGAAATGACGACCATGTAGGAGAATCAAAATCAAAAAAAGAATTCAAAACTTAACATGAGACTTTCATCTCACACGATTACGAGAAAGAATGAAAGATAAGGCAGATCAAACAAATGAGAACAAATCGTCAATTTTTAGTAGTTATTGAAATCAGAAACAACAGAAAAATAAAAATATTTTGCAGTTTTCATCTTATTTAATTTAATCCAGAATTGTTGATAAGTGCTTGTGGAAATCAAGATCCTTGACAACAGTGACAGGGCAGGTCGCATGAGATATTACATAGTTGGTCACACTTCTCATCTTCGAATCTTCCGTCTACTAGGTAGAGTTACCACCATGATAACTTGTCTTAAGCCTTAAATCCATTTCCCTTGATGATATTTCAACTACCTCTCTAGTTAAGCATTTTATAAGTGGATCCAATACATTATTTTTTTATTTGTGTAGTTAATTATAATAATTATACTAGTGAATAGTTATTTAACAATATTATGTCTTCATCATATAAGACAAAATATATATATATATAATATTTATACAATATAAATACATTACAAAAAGATATTTGAGTCATTAGCTGAAAAAGAATGTGTTGGGTGACACATTTATGTAAGTATCCTGAGGATATTTGCATTTAATGATTTGACTGATCACTTATCGAATTTTAAATATACTAATTCGTTATCCAACTAATCAAATATCAGTAGATTGGTATAAGTTTAGTGGTTAGAGGTTGGTTTGTCGGGTTAACCAACAAAGTTGCATTTATGCACAATGATATATTTCTTCTTTGTGATTTGACCAAAGAAGAAATATATATATATGTGTATGTTGGGTTTTTTTTTTTTCCCCTTGTAATTGTTGATCTTGCAATGGTGAAATGAGAATAATCTAGATGGGCCTAAAGCCCATGGATTGAGAATACTTGCTACATTTTGCACCATTTGGTGTGATGCAGTATTTTATAAGATTGAGCTTCTTTTGTTCTTGATGATTTCATAGCTTTAAGGTGATTTATGTCCAGATAGATTTGATAAAATTATCTACCTGAGCATAAATGAGTGGACGCCTTTTATAAAATATTTGGATCATCGTTCTAAAACATTCATGAGATTTAAGGTGTGTATATGATTATTAAAGTACTTTGTTAATATATTGCGGAATTTGAATAATATTAAGGATATGATTTGTGTTGTGGTGATGTCAACGTGTATCCATATAGTTCAGTGTATTTCATTTTGTGAATATTTATTATTTTCTTATTTTACTAGGTGTCAATTCAAAATAGAAGATATTGATCATTAAGTACATATTTCATTCTTGTCTAGATATTATAACTATTCTTTTGTATTTGTATTTAAGGGGTTTGTTGGTATTTTTGTTAAGGGATGGTGATGCAAATTAAATATTCATTCTCCTGAATTAATTAGGTTCATTTTTTGAAAATTTAATTTGGAATTTAGTCAAGGTTCATGCCCATATTTAATTAGATTATTTTCTAAAATTAAGGTTTGTCAAGTTTTTTTTTTTCTGCTATCTAAGAATCTGCATCCTTGTCAGATCGAAATTGCTTACACAATATTTGTTACAATTTATGTAACTATTTTTACTTTTGATTCAATATTATTATTATACTCTCTCATTTGTTTTTATTTGTTATATTTAAACTTGACATATTCATTAAAAAAAAAAAAATTTGAGATGACTATTTCTCATACTGTTTTTATTATATGATATTTAATATTAAATCCTATAAATAGAAAAATAAATAATTAATGCTAAGAATAAAACATGAAAAATAATTATTATTTTTTCTTCATATATTAAAAATGACTATAGTTTTTATGCTGTGCTCCAATATAAAAAAAATGGAAACTCACCCTAAATCAGAAAGGTAATTCCTTCATCAATTATTTTTACCTACCATCATCATTTCCATTGTACATGAGACATACCATGTGATCATTCTAACAACTTTCCCAATTGTTGATATATTTATATCCAACCATTAACATAGAAAGAAATAAGTTATCATGTGTAATAATAAATACAGAAGACATGTTAATTAAGATCTGTGATTTTCATAATGTTAATTAAAAACTGATCATATGTAACAGCTAGCCATGTGGGGTAGCTATATCATCAACTTGGTACATTAATTCTAACAAGTTGGTGTAGATTGGATCTTGACTCATAAATATTCTTTTTCTAGTACTATATAATAAAAATTAAAGATTAAAAAATTGAATCGTCCACATGACATATTGAATCTTGATCTTACCTAGAATTTATCAAAGAGTTGAAAATTGGTTATGTGAACTTAGGAATTCTAACCAAGAAGTGTAAAATGACATTTTTTTTTCTAAAAATAAAAGGTCAAAAATGTCCATTGACAAAATAAAACCATCTTGTCCAAAAAGCATCTAGGGTCAAATTTGTTCAACTTTGTAAATGGTCTAATGGATGATAAAATTGTTTGATTTCTCATACAAAGGGCCATCTTTTGAGTTTTGACCCTTAAAACTTTTAAGATGGATAAATAATTATTTCTGATTTTAAAACATGTGTCATATATTACATAGTTTTATTACTAATCGATATAAATTAAATACGAAATGTGAGTTAGTTTTTATGTTCTAAATGTTCGTATACCTCAACTAATTCACGAGATATTTGTCACCTCTCAACAATATAAATATAAAAGATAATTCTATCCAAAAGGGATCCGTCTCATTTGGTATTTGAAAGTAAAGAAATTGTCATCATAGGAGAAATTACATGTAAAATCCTTAATCTTATTCGAAAATGGTATCATAATAAGTTCATATTTAACCAAACGAAACCTGATCACTTCTTGTGAAAATCTGGATCCTTAACAACAGTCACAGGGCAGGTCGCAACAGATAATACATAATTTGTCACACTTCCCAAGAATATCCTGTTTTATCAAGAGATAAATATCCAAATGTTAATGACAATACACATTAATATTTTGTAATGACCCAAACAAAATTGAACCTAGATTTGAAATCAGGAAAAGATATGACACGTAGAACAAAATTGTCCAGGTTTATATAAATAAATCGTCAGTATATCCCTAACCAATGCAAAATTCTAACTCGCTCCGATAATAGAAAGATGTCCATTGAATAGAATTACCTTTGGATGGTACTGAGTCCTCTGCTACCCATAACCAAAGAATTCAACTTCAGATCTTCAACAGCTTCACATAGTTTCTCCCTAGCATCTCCCCAATATAGTTTGATAACAATTTTTATCTATACAAAATTCAAACCAAAAGAATTCAGAAAATTAATAATTATCAACAAAAATAAATAAATAAATGAAAATGGTAGATAATTGATTGAAAATTAACCTCTTTCTGCCTAGAAGCAGTATCGAGCAAATCAAGAAGTTCAATATCAGTCT